AATTTCAAAAAAGCATAAAAAATAAGGTACACACGTGTATGCAAACAATTGAGTGAAAAAGTGAAGAATTCAATTAAAAAACGGTGTCAAATGCAGTATTCAAGATGTATTTTTCATTTTGGGGAAAAATGGTTGTTACCATCATTTTCTACATGTCTTAAAGTGTGGGAAATAAATTTAAAATGTCAAAAAATGATGAGAATTAAGCTGTAAAAAATTAAGTGAAAAATGGGTCTAATTTCAGTATTAAAAATGAACCGTTGAGTTTTAAAAAAATTGGATTGCACCATTAAATTCTACACACATTGAAACCTAGGAAATAATTTTAAAATTTCACAAAAGCATAAAAAATAAGGTACATACATGTATGCAAACAATTGATTGAAAAATAAGTGGAAAAAAAAAATTAATAATCAAAATTCATTTTTATGGAAATTAGTTTTTACCATTAAATTCTACGCCTTTTATAGTGTAGGAAACAACTTTAAAAATTCAAAAAAACTCAAAAAATAACCCATAAAAAATTAATTAAAAAACCGCGTCTAAAAGCGGAAACCGCGTGTGCTGCGGCGCATCAAAACCGCGTCAAAAAGCGGAAAAACCGCGTTTTTTTATTAAGGCCCTTTTTTAATATTCATTCTTTGAAGCCCATTTTCCACCATTCCACAAACTCTTTTGACTTGAAGTTTTTGGGTTCCCGCTGTGGAGCTCAAGTCAGATGGCTATAAACATCTGGGAGGAGGCTGTACAGCCCCTTGACAGAAAAAATGGAACCCTTTAATTGGAGTCTAGAGGGCAAACCAATGGACTTGAATCTATGCTTCCTGGTGAAACTGTGGAGAATGAGTTCTAAAAAATGATTCTGACAAATTGAAATGGAAAATATTTTGTAAAAATTTTGTATGTTTTTCCCCATTTTCTGATTTTTTGGGTATTTTTCAATCATTTTTCAATATAGCTCAGAAAATTATGATCAACACAATTGCATGTGAAAAGAATGATTATATGTAAATGAAAAATTGAGAAAAATCAATGATCCAAAGTTTAGAGAGCTGAAAAAGTTGGATTGATATTGAAATTGAATTCAATTTCAGTGCCTGATTGCAGGGTTGGTCTGGTGGATGACACAATCAAAACATGCTTAAAAAAGCTGTTGATCAATTTTTTTTAATTTTTCATTTATAATCATTCTTTTCACATGCAATTTTGCTGATCATAATTTTCTGAGCTACTTTGAAAAATGATTGAAAAATACCCAAAAAATCAGAAAATGGGGAAAAACATACAAACTTTTTACAAAATATTTTCCGTTTCAATTTTTCAGAATCATTCTTTAGAACTCATTCTCCACAGTTTCACCAGGAAGCATAAATTAAAGTCCATTGGTTTGGCCTCTAGACTAGAATTAAAGGGTTCCATTTTTTCTGTCAAGGGGCTGTACATGGAAAATCTTACTGACAAAATAACAAGCCAATGATAAGAAGCATGTTTTTGAAGAGGCCACAAAATTCAAGAAAGAGGTGAATGCAGAGCAAAAAAGACAACATGAGAAATATAAACTAAAACGTGATGAAGAGAAGATCAACAAAAACAGGGCAGCTGAAAATTACAAGAACAATGAGAAGCCAAAAAAAGGAAGACTTTGTAATTTTTTTTTGTCTTGTCTGAATTCACATGCGATGAAATGAAAGTAAGAAAAAAAAATGGTTTAGTTTTATGGGGTGTTTGTGTTTTAATCTAAAAGACTTGATGATTAGTTGAATCAAGGTCTTGCAATGTTGGTTCATCTTCAGTCATATTCAAATCATCATTGACTAGCAAAATAAATGGATTGAATGCAATCTGGTGACATATCAAACACTGTTTGGACCAGAGGGCAATTTCCAGCTGAATGGGGTCCAAACTGTGTCACCCTCATTTACACAGGGGGCATGCCCCTGCTCTGAACAGCATGTGATTTTTCACTCTATTGTACATGAGTACAACAGGGTGACAAATCACACGCCTGTCACATAATTTTCAGACCAGAGGGACATTTCCAGCTGAATTGTGTCAATCTCATGCTGCTGAGGGGAATGTAGGTGACTGAAACTCAAGGAGATGACATAACTCCCACTGACATTGACAAGTGAGAAAGATATTGAATTTAGTGATGGCAAATTGGAGGGAAACTGGTAAAGGCATAACCTTATAGAATTACTATAAGCATATGAGATCTTTGAACGGGTATCTCAACACATGCACCCAGTGAAAATTGCCCTCTGGTCTGAACAGTGTCACCCTCATATATGGTACTTTGATTGACAATGTAGAAATAAAATCATGACTGAGTTGAACTATAGTTCAGCATGGCTTCAACAGAGTTGAATGATAGTTGGCATTAAATAATTACATATTCTTTCACAAATAGGTTGTTCTTTATTTCTTGTTTTCCAATGAACCAGTTCAAAAAAGACAAATTAATGACTCCAAATGAACTTCCAACAAAAACACACAGAGAATTAAGCTACGGCACTCCCTGGGGAGTGCCCTTACCTGGTGATGTGAGTTTAAAAATTAAAGTAATTGAACATCTTTCTTAACACCTATTTTCTACAGGAGGTACATAATACAGATATCTTACTTAGCTCAAAAAACATACAAAAAGATAAAAAGCATACATCAGTTCACAAAGATACAGGTGAATTGGGCATATGATTTCCATGCTTGTTTCAAGGAGAAGAAAGAAACACTCTCCACATACTCACACCTTTTTATCACCACCCAGATGAGTGGGTAGCTGTGGGTTATAAATATTGTTCATCTTCCAGGATTTTCCCAATCATCCATAACCCACTTCCATAACCTCTTAGTTCAATCCACAAGTAATAAGATCAAGCCAACCCTAGTCATGCAATTATCCAATATCTTATGTGCATTTCATCTCTTAAATTGCTATGTAATCTTAGCATATCCAACTTTACATTCAAAAACTCTGGAAAAGAGAGAGATTGAAGGTTTTTCTGCTGACACTCAGCATCAACACCTTCAGAAGAGGATGGAAGGATCCTCAAAAAGTATGTCTACCTTCCTCAGGATTTTATTTATTTACTTCTATAGTTACAAGGAAAGCAGCCATTGGAGGACTTCCATTCAAAGTCTGTGTGTCCCCCAGTTTTGGCTTAGAGCCTGGAAAGATAGATTTCCCTGCCAAAATCTCAATTTTTGGGGTCTGTATCACTAACTGGGAGGGCCACAGATCTGACAAGAAGTCCTCCATTTTTTTCTTTAGTGCATTGAGAAATAGAATTACTTCACCACCAAAATTTAAATATAAAAACCTCCCCACATACCCACAAGAAAACTAACAAATATGGATTTTTTGGGGAATTTTACAATTTACTAAAACAGATCCAACATATGGTGAATTTTTAGCCTTTGTGCATGAGGTTGGATCTACAGATCAAGAAAGTAAGTTTTCTTTTACCAATCAAATCATGAATTGTGTATCAAAAGGTGAGCTGATGTTTAATGGTATTAAAAATCAAACTTTCCTTTGTGCAAGTTAAATCAACAAGGGAAAAATATAATTCTTTAGCATTGCAAGCTGAAATACAAGATACTATGTTGGAAAAAATTGATGCAATAAGTGAGAGATTTGATGCCAATGTGAAATTTGAAGAATCAGACAAACGGTTGAAAGAGTTACAGGACAAGGCTAGAAAATAAGTCTAATCCACAAATGACTGAAAAGATAGATTAAACTGTTAGTCCAAAAAAAGCAACTCAATATCAGTCAAACATCAAATATTGGATTTAATCAATTCGGCTTGGAAAAGAAGAAATTTGATGAGTGTTAGATTGTAGTACTCATATGCAGCTTGTACTTAGTTATGTTTATATCAAGCCTTCCATTGTTACTAAGTTACCAGACTTCTACTGAATCCAATACACAGATTCTCTTTGTCAAGTTCAACTCATGAGTCTTGACCACAATCACTGATTTGGTTAACAATGATCCACAGATATTTCATTCAATTTTTTGTCAGATATGTCAGTGATACTGATGATGTCCCACATGTGGTGCTGAAGATGCTGGTTTTCCCCAGTGACTTTCATTAAATCAATGGTAATGACATCTTTGAAGACCATGAAATGGTGGTGCCTATCAAAAAAGCAATCCAACAGTATTTGACACTTTCTCCAGTGTTGAGTCTGGATCTAAGAATAAACTCTTGGTATTTCCCAACTCATGCCATAAGTCTTCAACAAGTTTCTATCATGCTGTCTAACAGTCATGGCTGAGCACTCCCAAACTGCTTGAAGTTGCGGAATATCGCGTATGGAGGTAAGCATCATTTGTAAATAAGTCTTACTTGCAGCACACAACGGCCCAAATGGAGCAAACACGAAGTGAGCCGAAGCCCTTCGAGCTCGCGAGGCGAGGCAGGGACTTCGCTTAAGTTCGGTGCAAGTTCAAACCACATCTTGGATAACCACCATCACATTCTCGCTACTTGAGTTTGGTTATCACATAACCCAAGCTCCGACTCGGTCGAAGGATCCCATCTGGTCCATCAACTTGGAGCGGTCGTTTACATATTTGGATGATTGCTCATCTTGATTTGCCCTGATTTGCCTAACTGAATCGGTCATTGCGGCTGTCTGAGGAAACGTGGGGCTCTCGCGGCCTCGCTTATTTTAGGTTCCGATAACCTACCTCTCCAGGGAAGACGGGAAAAGAAAGAATTAACATTCCAGGATCCCCGTGTGCTTGTTTTGTGAAGCTCTTCAAACTAGTGCATGGTCAAAGCGGAGTAAATGTGCATCTGGCGGTTGAATCAATCTTAACCCGCGTTTCTCTTTTGATCGTTGCAAAAAATAAATCCGATTTCTGGTCCCCATATTGTACTTGCGACATATTCCGATTACCAGCATTCACAGCTCCTCGTAAAGCTTTAACGACTTTGGTCTGTCACGATATCGCTGAAAAGATTGCAGACACCTAAAAGAGGCTAAGCTTATAATCAACATACATAAGTCTCCAACTGCCCTTTCCAGATTCTTCTTTCCCCGTCACCAGAAGAAACATTACAATGCCAATTTTCAAGCTTTGGAAGAGACGGAGCCCTCGTGATCCAGCCCGCCAGCCACTTTTGAGCCCCAGGAGTAGAGTGAGCAAAATATCACATTTTTTTTAAGCAAAGCTTACTTGAACTGGGAAGCTTGGCCGCACTTGGTCTTCATGAGCTTCGCGTCAATTTTTTTAAACATCCGGCGAACACGTCCAGAGAAATATTGATAAGATCTCCAGGCTCAATTGCGAATTCACAACAACAAATGACGTTCTGATCTATAATTTCTTTTTGCGTAGGCTAATCCGGAGTGCAACCAATCAGAAACCCTTGAAGCAGTTCCTTTGTCGACGCCCCTACCTTCCCAGCAGTTGTTGGTGCTATGTTTGATGCGAATCACAGGTTGGCAATTTCCAGATCCGCCGGCAGTACAAGACCACAAAATTATGAGCTGATTGAAGGAGGACGTCGTCGCCTCTCTGTAATCCGTAGAGCCCATCTCCCAAAGCTTGATCCAGCCTTTTATCAAGTAAGTTCAATAAGTATTTTTCTGTGTGTCGGCCTTACGCGTCACAGAAGCCTTTCAGGCTAAACATAAACTGATTCGAGGTTGTCCTATCTGTTTCACAGCCAAATGCTTGAGGATTTAAAAGTCACTCCTGATAGAACTAAAATTGGGTTCTATGCAGGTTTAATTACCAGTTGAGTCTGTCACGTGGTCTTCTCCAAGAACATGGCTAAATTTCCCTGTGTTTCAAAAATATGCATTTTTTTCGATGACCTGCGGTGGGAATTCATTCCCATCTGTAAGGGGCTTTGTGGAGCTTGACGTTGACTTTTTGAATAATCTACTTCAATGATCCACTCCATGTGTGCCACAGGTTTGTTTGCCTTTTCGCAGCTATGTACAAGTAAGTTTTTTTTTGTTCTCAAAATTAGCACCGTTGACCGCGAATCAGGGGCGTGAATAATTCGTAGCACAAGAAGTGGATAGTCCAAATTTGTTAACCAGTCTTTTTGATTTTCATGGCTCAGCTTTTTGGTGGGGAGTGTTATCGGATCGAATAGGCAGAAAGCCCATCTTACTTTCCGGGCTGATTGGTCTGTCAATCAGCATCACTAGCTTCGGCGTTCAAACCAGTTTTATTGGCCTGGTCGTAGCAAGGTGTTTTGCCGGGATCATGAACGGTACTATCCATCCACACATGTTAGTAATACATCCATTGACGCGCTGATCAACTCATCCATTCAACTTCAACCAACAGGAAACGTGGGTATCGTAAAAGTGAGAATTCCCCCCATGTTTCAGATCCTTTTCAAAGGACACCACGAGCGTCGCCAACCAGACAACTAATCACTCTCAATTCGAAAATCCAAGAGCGTTCTGGCAGAGATCACAGATGAGACAAACAAAGCCCGGTACGTCACCTGATTTTTTGAAGATAGGCTCAAAGCAATCGTTACATTTTCTCCACCGACCATGATATCTCAACTGTCCTTGTTTCAAGTTCGAATCCAGAATTTCGGAAGACATCAGCTGACAGTAATCATGTTTTTTGCTTTCTTGCCAGTTCAGAGCATTCTGTTAGTTTTCTTCACCATGTCCAGTCTCTTCGCTCAAAGATATTTGACAGTCTCAATCTTCTTGAAGGGTTTAACTCATTTGATTAACTGTCACCGCATCGAATTGATTACCCAGCGCTGTTACCGATGTCTAACGTAAGTCAAGGAACCTGAAGCTCTTCGGAAGATTGATTTCTCACTACGCAGATATTTCAACAGGCCATTGGGATGATCTTGGGACCCATGATTGGTGGATACTTGGCGGAGCCGACAAAACAGTATCCTACGATTTTTGGACATATCGAATTCCTCAAGAACTATCCTTATTTTCTACCGTGTTTCATTGCGGGTACAACCAATTTTCTAGCCGTGGTTCTTGGATTTTTTTACTTGAAAGAAGTCGGTCAATGAATAATCAACCCATTTATGATTTCTCAGTCTGAAATTTTTAACTTTTCCCATGTGGTTCATAGACACTTCCATCCAAGATAGCATATCAGAAACCTCAACTTAACGATGTCAGCGGTGTTGGCGAGGTCCTTGAAGAGTTCGGGGATGAGCAAAACGTCACCCAGGTCAAACCTGAATTTTCTGCGTTGTTCACACCGACTGTTGTTAGTGTTTTGCTCGGCTCGATGTTGGTATTCTTCCAGACCTCGTCTTGGAATACCTTAATTCCAATATATGCTTACACTCGTGAGTAATTCTTATTTAACGGGACGCAGTTTTCAATTTCCTGAACACCTTAAATCATATTATGAAATAACAAATCTCCAGGGTATGAGGACGGCGGACTTGGCCTCAGTTTCAACCAGATTGGTGGGTACATGACAATGATGAGCAAGAAACGACACAAAATGATAAAAGCAATCCCGTACTTGAAACTGAATTAGACCTGAATCGCTATTACAGGCACAGCCCTTACCACCAATGGATTCGCCGCGGTAATTATCCAGACGGCTGCGTTTCCCTATTTTCAAAAGAAGTGGGGAACTGTGAGAGTTTTTCGAAAGGTTTTGGCGGTTTGGCCAGTGGCTTTCATGCTCTTGCCGATGATTCGCTATCTGGAAAAGCAGCAGAGGGAACGTTATGGAGAAGATGTCGGTTCCAGGGCAGCTGTGGCAGGTTTGATAGGTGTCTTAGCCCTTAAGAGCGTCGGTGGAATGTCAATGGGTAAGTCAATATATTCATCCCTCAAATTGTCTCATGGGATGTTAGGACAGGTGATTTATCCATTCGGAATTTTGCATGTTTTTCTGGGACGTTGGAAGTATGCATTGCTTTGTTGATCAACTCTGCTGCACCATCTCCTTCTACTCTCGGGGCCTTGAACGGTTTGGCGCAAGTGTGTACTCTTCCCTCATTTTTAAAATGTTATAGTTAAGTTTGACTCTTCTTCTTGATTCAGACCTGTTCAGCATTTTCAAGAACGTTTGCCCCGGTGATCAATGGAGCGATATTCTCTATCAGTATTAATCGGCAATATCTGGGGGGAAACTTAATTTGGTTCTGGGGAATATTGGTAAGCTTTCTAAACATCGTCGAGCTTTCAGATGAAATAGGACAAATCCATCAATTGATTGAACAAAACACTCTTATTCATCTTTCTGAAACGGTTTGGAATCAATTACCTCATGATCATGAATCCCAGCTTTCTTGTTTGACTTATTTGTTTTCGCAAACCATCAAGATTGAAACTGAGGCCGCTGTGATAAGAGCTCAACCAGCTCCGTCTTGAGCTCTCCAGCTCAGCTTTCAAAGTACCTACAGCCAGTTTGCAAAGGTTTTTTTTATCAGGTTGGCTCTGACCGGGGTGTATTCTTTTCTACTTCAGGAAGTGTTTGATTTCTTATCTATGAATTACAAAGCATTTTTCTACACTTTTGTGTTCACCTTTGTATATGCTTAGTTACTTTAACACTTCATTCAGTTTAGAACTAATTGAAGACTCGAAAAACATTGACTCGATAGTTATTTCTTTAGTTTTCAAACTGGTATCAATCAGTTGATCAACCTATGCCCATTGATTCTTGTCGACAAGTTATGATAAAGTGATACAACGTGGATAACACTCGAGAAAGAACAGAAACTATAATGAGAGGAACGGCACAAAACGCGGACAAATCTCCAAGGCGTTTTTATTTGTTGCTTCGTCAGTTGTGAGGATTAGCAGAGAGGAATTTCAAGCAACGCAACAAATGTGTCTACAAATACATACGCAGGAGGCCATATTTGCACATATCCACATCATTATTAAAAACGAAACAAAAAACGGGGAAAAAAGTAAAATAAATACATGCTATAATCTTTCAAAAATCACCACAATATGACAACACACACGAAAAAAAAAAAAGAATGTAGAATAATACATATCGGAGGACTGCATCTGCTGTGAGAAGAATGGAAAAGGCAAGCCAAAAGAATATCACTATTCCAAATTCCTGCCGATTTTCCATCCTCGTTTGCGTAGATGTCTGACAATCGGCGGGGTTATCCAAGCTACAAACATCCACACAAGTTCACCAAATCAGTATCGGAAGAGTATGCTCATACATTGCATGGATGATTTGATTTGGATTAAAATTCTCTCGTTCAGCAGAGAAGAGACTAGGGCAAGGCGAAAAGGAAAGAGAAAACAACGTTAAAAAGATCGACAAAGAGCACGAACCGGTAAGCAGAATGCGAACGGGTAAGAGGATAGTTTTGTGAATAGTGTAAGCCACCACAGCGGAGGTCCATAGCATATCACTGTCAATTTCCGAGCCTCCAGGGACGGATGTTGTTGAGAGTGAATCGTGGGCTCGTTTCCAATGGACTTGCTCGCGTACCCAGTCTTCAGCTTTCCTGACGTGTTCTGCACCGATGAGATAGATCATCAAAAACGAGAATCTAGAGGGAAAGAAAAACAACCACGTCGATTTTGGGTCAGTTTCGCGATCATTGTTGGGAACACAACCCCTTTTTTATTTTTCTGAATCGGAGCGAGGAATCACCCAAAGTCGACGCCTCCAATCAACCCGTATACAATCAATGCAGCACTTCCGTAAAGCTTGGTGAGCTGCCTAATTTTCCCGAATAATCCGACGCGCGCGGTGGGCTCTTCGGTTCTGAAGCTCGGCGATTTTTCGCCTTTCTGATGAAGATCATCCTGAGCAGTAGTAGATTTGCTGAATAAATTTCCGAGTGAGTAATCCGAGGGTAGCGTTTTTGCATGCTGATCGGTTGAAGCATTTGCTGATACGGGTGACGACGATGAAGACGACAAGAAACTTGTAGGGTTAGAAGACTTGCTCGCTCGCAAGCGTGATGAATCCGACGGATCTCGATGGATGTGTTGGTATTCATAGCTTTTCTGGTTCAAACTGTCCTTTTGGAATAGCGCGGCAGGAACCATGTTGAGGAGCGATGGATTCGATGAACGTTCCGTCGAAAATCTTGAAACTATTGGTTGTTTGTTGTGTCGGTCTTGTTGGGAAAATATGTGGGATGGCAACAAGAGACACGTTGGCAGTGGCACCACCACCCCAATCCTTCATCCCACCGGCACCACCCACGTGCGCCTCGGGCCCAGTCAGGGCCTCTCGATGTCCGGCCCTATATGTATAGTCACGAACTTATAGGCGCATATACATCCTGACCAAAACCCACAGCAACTTAAAACAACTAAAACAGAAACAGAAAACCATTCAAGAAAACGACTCAATGGCCGAGTCATCCTCGCAGGAAACAGAATGGGAGGCGATCGAGATCTTGAAGGAACGCGGGGGGAAATATTACATCCGATGGGCTGGAATCGACCCAGAGACGAATAAAGCATGGAAGCCGACCTGGGAGCCAAAGCGTATGGCGAACAAATTATTAGTAGATGACTGGAAGGAGAAGAAGAAGAAGAGGAAGAGACGAAGCTCAGGTCGGAACAGCTATCGATCTGAATCAATCTCATATTGGTCAAGTACCCATTCAACAACAGCCAAGACGACCGCCGAGTTAACTCGCCCGAGTACTCGTCTATCAATCCTCGACAATCCGCATAGCACTCCTTCCAGCAGTAGTATCATAAGCACTAAGCGAAAACGAAGAAAGACTCACGAAACTTCCACCCCTGCTAGTCCTGTCTCATCCAAGCTACACTCAATCCATGATCATCAGTCATCACCGCAACCTTCTACTCCCTCTCAACTCAACTCATCTCAAAAGTTAAAACAAACGGTCATTCCAGAAACTCAATCTCAATCTCAATCAGATGAAGAACTCGACACAGGAAACCAGAAAACCAAAACAAACCCTTCTGGTAACTTCTTCTTCTTTTGCATTAAAAGAAAACAGAAACTGATGGATTTGCTTGCGATAACCACAGTTAATACAAATCGAAAGACTCCCAATCGCCTCCCGATGACCTCTTCGTCTCTACCCGAAGATCCACTCCAAGCTGCCAAGAATTCACTTTCCAAAAGAAAACAGAAGAAACCTGGGCCTACTCCCCCAGGTATCACTATTTCTCTAGCCTTTGACTTTCTTCACCAAAAAACGAACAAAAAAAAACTGATGAATTTTGCTTGCAACGACCATAGCTAATCCGACCCCCAAAACTCCTATTCGTCTTCCTTTGACCTCTTCTTCTCTGCCCGAAGAACCAATCCGAGAAGCCGAGGATTCAATTTCAAAAAGAAAACAGAAGAAACTCAAACCTAATCCACCTGGTATCTTTCTATCTTACTTCTCTCATGACCTTTCATTTTACTTTCATTTTATTCACTGTAAGGCAAGAGAAGAATAAACTGATGAATTTTGCTTCTCATAGCCGCAGCCAACCCGAATCCCAAGACTCCTACTCGCGATCATCTGAGCCCTTATCCCACTCAAGACCCACCCGAGCCAGCTGAGGATTCAGATGGGCCGGCTACACCCACCCAAGAAACTTCACAAGCCCAAGACATTGCATTGAACCTATTTTCCAACGACTCCTCGAGCCATCAGAGCAGTGAGGTTGAGGATGAATACTCAAACCTCGGCCAGGCTAGGACGCCCAACCGGCCATCCCCTCTGCTCTCTTCGAACAACGATCAAGTCATCCCTAGCTATGAACCTGATGCAGAAACAGCCGATCTGATCGCCAGTCTTAATGACTATGACGACCCTGACCATCTGTCGAGAATGGTCCAGTACATATCCCGAAGCCCGATCGATGCTGACGACAAGAGATTCATCCTCAAATTCATCAACGACCCGCTCTCTTATCTTGGTGAGTTGATATCCACGATTTATCAAGCTTCAATTAAGGATGGAACTCCTAAACCATTCGTGTTCTGTTTCCAGCCGGTCCGACCAACGAAATCGAGCAGCTGCGACAAGAGCACACACTCGGTGGATATCTGGGATTTGAAATCAAAAGGCAAAAAGCCGGTTCAATCAACCTATGGCTTCAGGGGCTTGGGGGCTCACATCCATCATGGGTGGTTAGATGGGACAGTGCTAAAAATCGTAAAAAAGTTGCAAAGCTGCTGTGTAAGTTGTCCAGATCTGGTCATAGCCGTTTCGGATCAAGCTCTGTTCAAGTTACTTCCTCTCACTCTTGGTTGTGCCTTCAAACATGACAGTTCGTTACCTCTCGAGTCGCAAGAGATCCTGCTCAGATACATCCGAATCAAGAGTCTCTGAGCGCACTGACGCCAAGCCTGAGCCTTCTCATCTATCGAAAGACCCCAATGATCACCAATCGTGTTCGAGTCAAAGTCATGAGCCCCAAGAGTCTGAAATCAAACCTGATCCTCTTGTTCCAGATGACAACCCAGCCCCATTCGATGATAACCCAGCGCCATTTGATGTCAACTCAGTGCCACTTGATGTCCAGGAATCTGAATCGTCCAAATTGCTAAAAGTTCTGGCCCCTTCTCCTCCAGCCGATGCTCCAACCGATGCTCCGCCTGATGATATGCACACCGATGCTCCACCCGATGATATTCACACCGATGCTCAGCTTGATAATATTCACACCGATGCTCCGGCTGATGAGATTCACACCGATGCTCCGTTTGATGAGATTCACACTGAAACCCCGCTTGATAAAATTCACGTTGATCCCGCACTGCCACTATCGACCGGCCTTTTTGGGCGAACTTCAGCCAGACACTGCTATCCCCCCGGAAGACAAAGTTTGTCCTAGTGAGGTCGAGCCTCTTTTGAACAAAACCGCCGCAGGTGAGGGCCGGAGTGAAGTCGAGCCACTTTCGAACAGAGTTGACGCTGCGGTTGAGAGTCGGAGTCAGATCAAGCATCTTTCGATCAAAACCGACACTGACCGGGAGGATCGGATGAGCAAGGAAGAGCTTCGGGGTGTTTTGACTGGGCTACGTGTGTTATTGAAAGGTGCCCTAGAAGCCAGTTCACACCAAGAAAACAATGCCCACAAAATATCTCGCCTCCAAGCTGATTTGGAGAAAGAAAAGGAGACTGTAGCAGAGCTGAAGAATCGGCTTTGGGACCGAGATGGAGAGATAACTGGACGCCAAGCTGATTTGGAGAAAGAAAAGGAAACAGTTGCCGAGCTGAAGAATCGACTCCAGGACCAAGATGCAGAGATAACCCGACAACAGGCCCTCCAAGCTGACTTGAAGAAACAAAACGAGATAACGGCGGCAGAGCTAAACAATCGAGTTTGGGACCAGGGGCAAAAGTCAACTGAGAAGAAGGAGAAGCAAAAGGGGAGGTCAAATGATGTTGGATGTATGAAGGCATCTATCCCTGTGTCGGCTTTGGGTCAGTTTAGTATTATTTATTTTTCTTCTCACTATCTCAAAATGTGCCAAACTAATTACTTGTCATTTTTTCTAGATTTATGTTCCAGCTTGTCTGCAAGTGAGAAGCGTGCATACAACCAGGGGTTAGAGGCTTTCCTAGAAAAAAAAGGAAACAGAGGACGTGCTGGCATGGATTTTGGATCGGTTGCCATCGATATCATTACACGATTTCTCAACTTCTTGCCGTCTGTGATGCCATATATCCAGGAGAATCAGGTCAACGTTGCCAGGTCGCTCTCTGCAAAAGTGATCATGGCTTCTAAGTCAAAAGACTTTGCAGACACGCTCAGATGTGGTACGTGTGATTCCCTTTCTTTTATTGTGATTTTATTGTTTTTTTTTTTTACTTATTTGCTTTGTGACTACAGCTCCAGGTCTTATCCAGGTTTCTTACCCTGATCCATTTTGGAACCAACAAAAGGTCAAGTTTGAAACAATCTGGGAAGCTGCCAGCGAAGATGATGCTGCTCCAACTGGGAGTTGGCAAACTCTTCTTTGTATGTTTGCACGAGGCGACAAGGACAACACGTCCACTTACACTGATCACAGCTCTCGCAAACTTCTCCTTGACGCCGCTTTTACTCGTGTAGACCAGCTGGTCAAGGATTCGATTGCTGCTGTCACTGGAAAAATTCAGCCCCAAAAAAGCTCAACAACTGACACATCTTCCTTGGACGGCATCCGAAAAGCTGAAGTATTCCTCCACCAAAAGGTCCAGGGTTATGGCGGCACTCGAGGGAAGGGAGCATCGAAAAATTATTATGACACAAAAAATTTCCTTCTCAAGCGGATCCACCAGGTCTTTTTGGCCTTGTCTCTCTGTATGGAGTCAACTACAGTGGCTCAATTGGAGAACGAGTATAAAAATAAACCCAACATCACCGCTGCCCAGCTCAAGGAATACAAGAGCAGTCTGCAATCCAATGCCATCTTTCGCACTGGCCCTCCCGATATCAGCAGTTGTGATTGGTCTATCTCTCGTCGCGAGTCTTATGCAGTTCTGGCCAGTTTTATGGCTTTTGGTGTTGCTGGCTTGTTCACCAGCTTCATCAACTATTGACGATATACACTCGCAGACAGCTACGGAATATTAACGTTTGGCGATCAACGGATCAAAGCTATCAAAGATATGGGCATGACCAAGACCTCTAGTCATCCTCTTGTTGATGGTGCCTGGAAGTATCTTAACGGTCATATTCTCAAGCTTCTGCATGCTTCTAATATTCAAAGGGGTGATTCAAACGATTGGTTCCAGGCCACCAAGCTTTGGGCTAAAGCTTTGGCTCCAGAGGTTGTTGGAGAAATTGTCCTGGCCGATGTCTGGGAGGAAATCAATATACCAGCCCAATCAATTACCTCTCGTGGTAATGAAGCTCTTCACCCGCTTCTGGACCAAGATTGGCTGTAGCTCTTCACCTACTTCTTGACCCTGGGTGCATCAAGAGCAAAGATGGGCTGTTCTTGTGAAGAAAAATCTCCCTGGTCTCCTGAAGGGGTCAGTGTACATACAAGGCAGACTCACCAGATGACAAAGATGAGGGCAACATGACTAACTTTGATTGTGTGGTTTAAGAACTACAGTTGCGGACAGCAAAAACCAACCCTGGATTTTTCTGATGTCCAAATTTGTGAGACAAAAAATCAAGTTTTTTTTTTTGGTGTTTTCAGACTTTTGAGCTTGTTTGGGCCTTCAAATCATACTGTAGAGCATCAAATAGATACCGTAGAGCATCAAATAGATGCTGCTGGTGAGGTATGAAAGCTGGAGAAGCATAAATACAAGAGTGTGGACTGCCTCAGCTAAGTGCCCAGACATGCCCTAGACATGCCCTAACTTAACTAACTCCATTGCCTTCTTGGTTGGAGTTGTAAACCACTTGTTGCATTGCACTGACCGGAGGGAGGGACTTACAAGCAAGATCCACCCCATGGGCTAAGAGCATTGAGGATTTTGGTGGGTGTTTTTTTAGAATCAATCTCACACAAATTTGATTGATTTTTTTTTCTCTCTGATATTAACACTTTGGGGTTCTTTCAAGCTGTCCCCATCTATGTACTCATTTTACTAATGGTGAGCACATCTCCTTCATCAATGATGATGATTGTAACATTTTTTTCAGATACTGCGCAGTGCAAAATGTGTGATGCAGGATGAGGCAGGAGAATTGTAATCACCCAAAATGAAATTTGAAAGCCACCCAAGGGCCTAAAAAAACAAGGAAAAACATAGAATGATTCTCCATGATCTTGTACATCTTTTGCCTCCCCAAAACATGATCATCAGCCAAAAAATGGTGCTGCTACACACAATTGAAAAATGTGGATTTCCTAATTCTCCTAGGCTGTGGGCTTGACTTGGCACATAATTCCCTCCTTCAAAGGGTCCCTGCAGGATTGTGTCCCCCTCCAATAGGGGGACTTGGTTAAGTTAGAGACATGCCAGTCCAAAAAATCATTGGACCAGCCTGCCCAAGCAGTTCTTGGACATAGCCATCTGACAAGTTGTCAAACTGGCTTGTCCAAGCTGTTGACAGGCAGAACAATCTGCTCAGACGGGTAAGTCTGACCTCTTGTCAGACAGCCATATGTAGCACCTGACCTAGAGAAGAGAGAAGGTACTGTTGCCCATGTGCACGGACAAGTCTAATAAAGTTGAGTTTGAAATATTCTGGACCAGTCCAAGAATATTGAAATTAAGAAGTAAACTCATGAAGTTCAAGATTTAAAAATCATTGTCTAAACCTTCATCACATCCTCCATCCCTCTCTCTTCCATCACTCAACTTATCAGACTCAAATTTCAATCTTTATCCCAACTCAAAAATCCCCAAGATTTTTCAACCTTCTCAATTTTTCTTCTACCACTCACTCCAACTAAACACTCTCTACCAACCAAACTCACTCACTCATCCCATCATGGTTGTAGCAAACATCACCCAAGTGACTTCCAAGAAAAACAAAGAATCCACTGGTACCAGCGGCAACAGTGACAAACTGGAGGATATTGCCATCACCAACGTGTTGATCCCCTCAGAGACCCAAACAAACGTTGAGAGAGCCCATGATGGCATAGCAAGAACTAATGCAAGCAGCCAAGCCCACAGTGGCAGTTTGCATAGTGCAACCAAGGAAGACAATTGATGAGGTGGTAAGTGAGGTTGCAAGCAATTATCCACATGAGTTATGAGCAATCACTTGCATTTTGAAGCCAACAGTATATTAACAAAAGATTTTTGTTTTTCATAATCTTGAATGCTTTAGTAACCAAAGAAGTTATGTACTCTTTAATAACAGGCACTAGGAAATCACACAGATATCAAGCCCCTGCGGCAATGCATATACCAATCTCCTTGGACAAGGACCAGAGAAAACTACACAGAGACCGAGCCCATGTGGCAGTGATATACCAGCGGTCAACAGACTTGAATATCAACACGGAGAACTAGGCATAGAGGAAGCAATAGTAGACAGATCTCCAGGTAAGCAATTGAAACCATCTGTGGTAATGGACTGTAATCAAGCAGAACAGCTGATTGAATATGTGACACTCAGCAATTGTGTCATCCTCTTTGATGAGTGAACATCAGGAGATGTGGAATCATGTGACAGCCGCTGTGGTGGTCCAGGCTGTTGCACACAACAAAACTGCCAAAACCCCTACCTTATAACCTAAACCACTTACATATATGAATATATTATTGCATAATCAGAATTTACATACAATTTTACCCATAGTCACTCAATAAGATTATACCACTATTGGTATTAGTTTAGAACATAATCCAATATAAAGATTAAAGCCATACCATAACTAGTCATTAAGTAGTATTCAATAATAATTCACCATATATATATAAGTACATATACATAAATTATTAAATCGGCAGGCCACCACCAGTAGTGCAGATCAGTTATGCAATTCTTACATGCATATGTGCAACCATTAGGCCTCCACTCAGTAACTTAATCAGTTTTATGCAGACTTTGAATAAATGCATGTGGACAGAAAACCTCCACCAGGAAGTGCAACCTGTTTATGCAATCCTTACATACAGTAGTACCATATTTAGTTATTTCCACAGCATAATTAGCTCAATGTATGTACTCTTTTTCAAGAGGCAGTGAAACCCACACCACCAGCAAAATCACCTCAACTGCATCACCACCAACAAAAATAACTCAGAAAAGAATATATAAGGAGGCCTCTCCTTCACCAATTCCACCGTCATCACCCAGCCAGCACAGTACCCAGCCAGTTCAGTGGTCATCAACATTGAAGTCTAGTCAACACCAGTAACAACAACAACAACAACAACAACCCACTTCACTATTTATCCAGAATCACCGTAAAACCATAAAACCCCATAAAATATTCCACTTGAATTGTTTTCACACCCACATTCACTGAGTAAAGGTTGTACAACTATCTTGTGTTGTATTACATACTGATCTAGGTCTGATAGAGACTAATGCTTATAAAGTTTTCTCCATCATAAAGTTACACCACGAAAATAAAAATAAATTGTTGTCAGAATCCTTGTGTAGTAAATAGAGGGGCAGGTCTTTCAAACCACCCATAACAGTAAAAATTACCTAGTGAAATATCATATTGTTATTTTCCCCTCAAGGACTGCCAACCGGTCCATCCAAAAGGATCTCTCACACTGGTTGATGAGGTTGTTATATTTTTTTTTTACCTACACTCTGAGACATGCTCAAAATTATGGTATAATCATTTTGCATGAAAATGAAAACTATTTCTTCAATATAGCATTTGGCATGTTCTTTTAGGGCCTTAATAAAAAAATGTGGTTTTTGCTGCATGCAGCAGGCAGTTTCCACATTTGGACACATTTTTTGTAATTAATTTTTTATGTTTTTTTTTTTTCAAAATTTCAAATTTATTTCATGTGTTTCAAAATGCGTAAGAATTTTTGTATCATTCAATTTTTGTAAAAATCAACGGATCATTTTGAATATTGCCAATGCAGTTGAAAACATTGTTTCAATTAATTTCTTGCAGCTTATTTCTCATTATTTTTTGACCTTTTGAGTTTTTTTTCTGACACTTGAAGAAGTTAACAATCTGAGGGTAATTATAATTATGCATAAAATTGAAAGGTTGTTTTTGAATGTTGTGTTCAACAGGTTTTTTTAATGTTTTTTTGATTAATTTTTACTAGACATGGTCTCAGGGTATCTGTTGCGGATACCTGTTATCCACTGGTGGATACCCCCTAGTATCAACGTATACCTGCCAGGGGATACAAATTTGAGAGTGGATGGCCGCTTTTCCCCAAAATTCTGGCGGATATCCAGGCATCTCCAAGGATACACCAGGCCGAGAGGATGAGAGTGGCCGGCAGGAAGGAAAACCTTCCCTGGTTGACAAGGTACATGTACCTTGTCAATTGGAAGGGTTCCAGTCAATGAGGTACATTAGAGATGTCACTTTGAACCCGGGTACCTGCAGCAGGTGTGGGTACCTGCCTCAAAAATCACTTTTTTTGGACACCCGCACCCGCACCCGCCAGGTCTGCCAAGGTGGGTACCCGGGTACCTGGGCCGGGTACCTGCGGGTGTGGAGGGGTCTATGGGCCTCATTTGCCGGAAGGGATTCCTTCCAGTTGATGAGGCTGTTCCACCTCATTGATTGGAAGGAATTCCTTCCGTTCAATGGGGTTGTTATACCTCATCAATCTGAAGGAAATCCTTCCAATCAATGAGGTATAACAACCTCATCAACCGGAAAAGATTCCTTCCGGTCGATGAGGCAACAACCTAATGTCATTGAGACTGTACAGTCTCAATGACTGGAGGAATCCCTCCGGCCACAGTCTCAAAGTCCGGAAGGGTTCCCTCCGGCCTCAACAGGCCCGTGTAGGACACCAACTGGTGTCCTACATGGGCCTCTGACACCCTGGTGCAGCCCAAAACTCCCAAAACTGCATTCCCAGGGCCGGTGTCAGGGCGGGTGTCAAGGTGGGCACCCGGGTACCCGCCATTTTTTTGTCCCAAAACTCAACACCCGCACCCGCGGGCGGGTACCCCCTCAGCAGAACAGGTACCCGTTGCCATCTCTAAGGTAAATGTACCTTGTCAACTGGAAGGAAACCCTTCCAGCCGGAAAGGTACATGTACTTAGCCAGCTGGAAAACCTTCCAGCCTGCAAGGTACATGTATTTAGCCAGCTGGAAGGAAAATCTTGCGGTCAACCAGGTTCATGAACCTTGTCAACTGGAAGGGTTTCCTTCCAGTCAAAAAGGTACATGTACCATGTGTTGATAAACACACATCCTCCCCCCTCCCGCTGTGGAACTTTTCAAGCTAAAGAAAAGAGCTTAGAGGGGAAAAGAACAACTACACAGGGGAAAATGTGAGTTGAAGACTTGGATGCTGATGAAGCTGCCTTCTTGTCAAGGCTTGGGAGAGAGTTACACTAAGAATTAAAGAAAAGGTGTGGCTATTTCTGTGGGTAATCTTAGTAAGAGATTTATTACTGATGTCTTGTACAAGTCACCTGCTGAGAGATTGAGGATGTGGGGGATTCTGGTAAGGATGAGGTTCTGGGGGGTAATGGTTTCTGGGTTCAATTTCTTATCTTCTGGGGGAAAATCAATAATAATTACTTCTGGTAACTACTAGTAAGTGATGTCTGCTAAGTAATTATCTGTTTACTTCTCTAATGCAAGCATGGGGAACAAAGTAAGTGGGAAAGGGTATTCTCTATATACATGTGGGTGGTTCTGATCAGATACTAGTGGTAAGATATCAGCTGATGTAAGAAGATGGTATGAAATAAGTTGTATCTGAAAGACAATTGGTTATGAAATAAATGTGGCTGACAAATGTGTAGTGTGAAATAAACATGTTGAAAAGGAGAAAATATGAAGTAACTTCTGTTTGTGATAAAAATAATATGTAGTGCAAAAAGAAATGAGATAATAAAAGACTGAAATAAATACTCTGAGGTGAGATGAGAAATCTGTGTGGTGAAATATATATGTAGGTGATATAAGCAATGAGTAATGAGTTGAAATGAGATGTATGATGAGAATGTAGGTGATATAAGCCATGTGTATTGAGTTTGAAATGGAATGTAAGAATGAAATACTTGTAGTATGAAATAAATGTAGAATAAAATAAATGTAGAATGAAGTAATTGATGTATGAAAAGAAGTGGATGATGAGTGAGATGAGATGACAATATCTGGAATGAGAAATCAGATGTATGGGATGAAACAGTATATGTAGTCTGAATAAGTGATATCTGAGATGAAATAAATAACATTTACTGAAAGATTATTATCATAGAAAGAAGGCACTGAGGGAAGACTAATTTGTATCAACGGTGAAACGGATCCGATCCGATACGGTATTGGCCGATTTATCGGATCAGATCGATTTTTCGATACCAGGTATCGAAAAATAAGGAATCGGATCGCTAAGGGTGATCCGATCCCATGGTATCGTATCGAAATGGTATTGGATCGGGATCGGGATCGCATTGCAATCCCGATCCGGCACCCAAATGCTGCGGGCTGTATGCCTTACACTTGGGTATCATCCAAACTGTAAGCAATCCGATCCCCGATAAATACCGATCCGGGGATCGGATCTGTTACATCCTTGTTTGTATCTTGAGATGTGTGATATGTAGTATGCTGTATCTATGTAGTACTATATATTATGTAACCAAACTATGTGTAAAAATACTATTTTGTAACCTTCTGAACTGGATACAAGATAATGAATTATGTAGCACAAGTATATCAGGTTGTAACATCCTAAAAACTACTATGTATAACTATTTTGTACTATGTATGACCTTGATTGGTCTCACCACACCGCCCCTCCAAAAGGGGCGTGCAATCCCACCCGCCCGTCTCTGAGGCTCCCCTCCAAAAGGGGTGTGTGATCAGCGGTGGGCCGCTATGCTACACTACGCTACGGGCCCATGTAGCGTTAGCGTAGCGGCGCCAATTTTTTTTTTTGTGTAGCGTTAGCGCGTCGCTACAGCCGCTGCTCTACGCTAATTTGTAGCGGCGCTAACACTAGCCATTTTTTGGTGTAGTGTTAGCGCGCCGCTGGCGCCGCTACGCTACAGCGTTTTTAGCGGCAAAAAACGCCAAAAACCCGCTAAAAATCGCTGTAACGCAGCGTAGCGGGCAGTTTTTGGCGGCCTGTGCGTGTAGCGTTAGCGCAGATGGGGGGAATCGCGCTAACGCTACGCTACACGTTAGCGCACGTTTTCTCCCCATTCGCGTAGCGTTAGCGCAAAAAATGAAAAAAGCGCTAACGCTACGCTAAAGTGTAGCGATTTTTCGATACACTACGCTACGCTAACGCTACGGTTAGCGTAGCTGGCCCACCGTTGGTGTGATCCCACCCGCCCGTCTCTGAGGGGCGTGCAATCAAACCCGCCCCTCAGAGACAGGCAGCCACCCGAGAGGTCATGGCAGGATGATGTAAGCAAACACTCTGGACTGTTTTGCTTATGTCAGTGTGCCAATGACTCTTTCCTCCCGGCCTCCAAGACCTGTACAAGTCTTGATGGCTGAGAGGAATCCCTCCCAGCCATCAAGACATACAAGTCTCGATGGCCGACAGGGATTCCTCCTGGCCTTTGAGACTTGTACAGTCTTGAAGACCAGGCAGAATCCCTGCCGGATATCGAGAATTGTACAGTATTGATAGCCAGGAGGGATTCCTCCTGGCCCTCCAGACCAGGCGTGCAGGCCAACCCGCCCTTTTTTGGGCGGGTTGTACTGCACACCCCTTTTGTTGCAAATGTCAGCAAACAGAGGGGCGTGTAGCAAAACCCGCCCAAAAAGAAGGGCGGGTCTTACTTCCCGCCCCTTTTTCAGGGGCGGGGCGGGAGTACATTTATCAATGCACACATGTAACTTGTCAACTGGAAGGAAACCCTTCCAGCCAGCAAGGTACATGTACTTAGCCAGCTGGAAGGAAAACCTTGTGGTCAACCAGGTACATGGACCTCATCAACTGTAAAGGAAACCCTTCCAGCTGGCAAGGTACATGCAACTGGAAGGAAACCTTTCCAGCAGGCAAGGTACATGTACCTTGATGGCTGGAAGGAAAACATTCCAGCCGGCAAGGTTGTGCCTTGCTGAACATTTAAAGGGCAGGTATCTGTGGATACCCACCAGCGGATGCGGATGTCCAGCTCTACTTAAAAAGAGAGGGGATATCCGGATGTGGAGGAGCCATCTCTAATTTTTACAGGCTTGATTTTCATTGTGTTTTGGAATTTTAAATTTATCTCCTACACTTTGAGAGGTTTAAAGTTTAATGGTATCATTCATGTTACCCAAAAATCAACCTTCAATCTTGACATATCAGCTTACCCTGTTTCTTGCATAATTTGTACTGTAAACCAATTTCATTTTTATGAAATATGGATATAACCATCAATTTTGAAACATCTCGAAATGTAGGAAATGAATTTAAAATCCCAAAAAATAATGAAAAGGGTCTTAGTTAAACAACTCCCAGAAATTGGAGTTCCGACTCCCAAATTTCGGGGACATCAAGAGGACCGTCTGCAGACGGTCCTCAGGATGCCCAACCCCAAAATTGAGAGTTGGAACTCCAAAAGTTTTGGGACCAAAACATTCAATAGGTTTGGGAGTCGTTCCCCTGACAAAAAAACAAAAACAAAAATGAAATAAATAAGGGCCTTGATAAAGAAAGCGTGGTTTTTGCTAAAGATGTCCCCTTTGCATCCGGATATCTGGTTGCTTTTTCTAGGAAAACAGGCATCCGCATCCACCAACGGGTATCCCCCCGCCCTAGCAGGTATCTTTGGATACCCGCTGATAGATTGATGCGCTTGTCCAAGTGAAGTTTAGTTGAAGGATCTCCATGTTGATAAATATAGATTGACAATACTGTTGGAATCATGCGGGATAACATCACTAAGGTTTCCAAATGCGGAGAGAGACTAGACACCTTACAGGATAAAACCAGTCAGTTCTTTTTATATTTTTTATCTCCTTACTTATTTCAAGTATCTATCTTTCCAACCCCCCCCCCCTTCAACAAAGAGAGAGAGGTTCAAAGACTGATGAGCTTGTGGACACAATCTATCCAGACAATTTTGCGGTCTCCACCCAAGGCTTTCGACAAGGTGCCAATTGGGTCAGGAAACAGATGTGGTGGAAGGTTATGAAGATGTGGCTATTGATCGTCCTCAGCATCATTTTCCTGCTCTTGATCATCATCAGCCCTATTGTTGGTCAGTCTCTGTCCTAATATTCTCAAAGACTCCTTCTTCTCTCCTGACTCTTCTCTACTCACTCATTGTTTTCCTTGCTTTCCTTTTTTTTATTCAAGAGCAAGTAGGATAAGGTGCACGTGGTTTCAGGTAAGTCTCTCTTTCTTTCTAATTCTCTTGTGGTTGAATTTCAACAGAAAAACTGACTCTCTCATTCTTTGCTTGTTTATGTAGACACCAAACCGTTAGGTCCAATCAGAACCCCCTCTGCTACTTCAGCAACAAATTCTTCTTCTCTTCTTCTTCCAATGGTGGTACCCCTAACCGATTCTTAGTGATTCAAAAGACTGTGGCCAATTTTACTGGATCAGTCACAAAGTCTGACAGGTATCCCTGGGGATACCCGGATATCCACCAGGATTTGGGGGAAAGGGGCCATCCGCACCCCCTGGCGGGTATCTGTTGGAGCCGGGGGGGGGGGGGATCTGCAACAGATACCCCACAACCATCTCTAGTTTTTGCTGCACACAGCAGACACGGTTTCTCACTGTGTTTGGACACGTTTTTTGTATTCATTTTTTACACTATGTTTTTTTTTTTTTTTGAAATTTTAAATTCATTTCCCACACTATAAAATGTGTAGAATTCTATGGCAAAATTCAATTTTCATAAAACTCAACAGATGATTTTGAATATCGTAATTAGGCATATTTTTCAATCAATTTTTCACAGCTTATTTGTCATTATCGTTTGGAATCTTGTATTTATTTCCTACACTTTGAGACATGCTGAAAATTATGGTAATAATCATTTTGTATATATTATAAATGAAAGGTTACACAGTGAGTAGCTGGAAAATCAGGCTTCTGAGGGGAGTGTGATAAAACTGGTTTCTCATAGAGGGGTAGGGATCAATCCACGCCCATTTTGGAGGGGCGGGCAGGGAGTGTGTTTATAAATGCACCCTTTTATTGTACACAATGCAAATTTCTGCCCTGTCAAACCCATCTTCTGTCTTGACCACTGGTGGGTTTGAAGGGAATACTTTACAAGGCTTTTGATTAAGGGGCCACCCTTGGGCAAGGAGCCTTGTAAAGTTTTCACCTCACCCGTTTGTATTGTAGTTTTACAAGCTTTGGCTTGCAATTAGTCTTATGCACCACCCAAAATGATTTCTAGTTTTCTCCCAGCAATTATTGTAATAAAGGACTGACTTTATACTTTCAAAAACATGGATTCAATTTCTGATCACACCTTGCTGGCATAGTGGTAAATCAATCCCATTTACCACTCCAAGAGCCCATTTTACTTGACAGTTTGTCAGAAAAACCAGAGGTTTTCAGATCAAACCCCATCAAAAGCAGTTTTGAATCCAGCCTGGATCACCACTATGCAAACCCAGACTCTCAACCTGCTCTTAGCATTTGTCTTTACCCTGAGCATGTCCTGGATGGTGGCTGCCCCTGAAGCATCCTCCTGCATCAAGTGCAAAACAGGGACCCTCATCCTCCAGCCAAGAAGTACTACACACAATTCATGTTGGTACAGCGCTGAATTGTGCTCACATAAGATAAAGGTCACACTCTTACACTGTAACACATGTCTTGCTGCAGTGTGGTCACCTCAAGAAAGATGTTCCAGTAATCATCAATTGGCTGATCATTATGTCGGTGATGTGAATGAGTAGGGTTTAGGTTGTCTACACTGCCACAGAGCACAACATAAGGCAAAAGTGGAGACATGCTTGTGTACCAGCACAACCCCCAGGGGAAACATTGTTTTATCATAAAAAACAAATTAAATTGGACAATTGGGTTGTTCAGTTTGATGCCAAACAACTTATGTGATGCCTGTTTTCAAAAAAAAAAAAATTAATAAATAAAAAACATTGATTCCCAACTTAACAAGTCCCTCCTGTGCTTGGGGCAAGCAACCTCACATGAGGGAGGGACTTTTTTTCAATAGCTTTAACGCCTAGCTAAGTAAGGGAAATATGACAGCTTGCCGATCACCTAGTGAGTACAGAGTGAGTTGGAAGGGCTGTGTCATGTGCAACAGCCATCCAGACAGGAATTCAAGAATCATGTAATTTAGGCCCTTATGGTTCACGCATGTAGCAGTGCTCAATCGATCCCTGGGTTTGGGAGTCCCCCCCTTTGCTTCCCTGTCTTAGTTGGGGCAGGCTGAGAAGGACATCATCAACAATGTGTTTCTTCTTCATGTTTAATCTCTAACTGGCGACTGATTTATTTATTTGTATATATTCAAAGAGAGAAAGCGGGGGTGGCGGTGGAAGAGAGAGGATGATAAGAGTAGGAAGGGGGTCAAGTGGAGCCCAGGAGGGGGACGACCCACCAAGACCTACCAGGAACCTTACCCCAGCGAATCTTAGAATGATCGGGTGGATTGAGAGCAGCGGTAGAGCTAGAATCGACGGGGATCGAAGAAGGGAGATGGTGGTCCTGACTGCCCAGAGGATTAAGCCCCAGCATCTCGTTGTTGGCCGGCTGAGACTCGAAGATCTCTTCGTGGGAGTGCAAGAATTTGAAGCAAGTCAAGCAGATAAAACACGGCGATTCCGCACACAGTTCGTCATCGATCGTCACCAGTCGGGCCGGGTCTCGATCGCAGACTCGACACTTGGGCGAGCTGATCCGCGAGAGAAAACTGGTGATCGGATACACCGTCGTCCATCCTCCCACTCCTCCTCCTCCTCCACTACTACTGCTGCTGCTACAATTCACTCCTCCACTCGTCGAACTCTCCCCTTGATTCTCCCCGCGTGTCGTCGGAAGCTTCGTCGTGCTCGATTGGCCGGCCGGCGTCGGCGTCGGGGCTGGGTCGGTCGGATGGATCGCTCTGATGGTCTCAAGAGGTGATTGGTATCAATAAGAAGGCAAGGTTGATCGGTTCGAATAGGAAGCATATCTGATTGGTCATAATCTCACCTGATCTCATCAACCGTAAATATATGTTCGCAGTTCCCCTGATGAATCATCCAATACGGCTCATTGATCCTCAAAGTGAGCTGGTCGAACCGGACACATTCCATCGATAAACTCGAGATCTTGATCTTGGAAGCCGGGTTTTTCTTGGGTAATCGGGGGCCATTCAACCCTTCTAACCCTTCGATCTCTTGTATCCCTTCTTCTTTTTCTCTCTCGTTTCCCCCGAGAAGATGATTCTCTAACGTAACCAGATTATCTATTTTCTCTTTCTCGATCAGATTCGGCAATAACTCTTGAAGCAATCTGTTCAACACACACGAGGTTTGGTTAACAATCGACAGAATTGTCTTTTGGTTGAAGAGAAATGAGACAAGAGTTACTCAACACTCCATAATCTGACTTCCCAGAGGCCAGCTCTTCTGGAGGAGAGAGCGGTCTAGTGTCAGAGAAGAGTACGTTTTCGATGACGAACGCGGATCCGGAGATCCAGCGGTGATCATCCCAATGGGAGCCATCGGCGGAGCAGATGGGGATCTGGTTGGCCGAGCAGATGACGACGTCCCTGAGGTCCGAGAGTTTCTGGGAGGAGAGGATGTGGATGGTCTGTTTACGAGGGGCGATCGACTTGGTCTCTGAACTCTCCTGGGTCGTGCTCGTCTTTGAGAATGGGTGGAAGGTGATGGTGATGATTAGCGGTTGTGGGTCGTTCGGCTGGGGTGCAGGATGGGGTAGATTGGAGTGCATCTGTATGGTTTAAGAGGAAACATCAATCTCATGTTTTTATTGTGATGTTTGGCTTGATTCTTTTTTTTTTTTTTTGGCTTCACGAACGGGTTGAGTGGACGTATTCCAATCCGAACGACCGACCGAACGGACGTACCACATCCCATCGAAATGGGGCTGAAGAGTCTTGAGTCCGGTAGAGGAGAGTCGATTGATGAGATCCTGAATTGGTTTAGGTTTATGGTTGATCGATTGAGGTGGGCCGGCGGCTTTCTTGCGGACCCTCTTAGGTTTCTGGCTGTTTTCGTAGAGTGCGAGCTGTCTCGCGCTGGTTGAGGATGCATGATCGGATGAGGATGAGCTCGAGAATAGGCTAGGGTCGAGGTAATCTGGGATTGGGGTTGTTCGTTGGTTGCTCTGCTGCTGGGCTGTTTCTGGTTGTTGTATTTCGACTGGGATATCTGCGGATCGGTCGAGCAGACGCGCCTTTTTCGCAGCGGGAGGGAGCAGTGCTTGATCGATGGCTGCTGCCAGTGAGTTGATGCTGTTGTTCTCATGGGATTCTGATATGTGTAAGGCGTGTAGTGATCCATGTGGTGTTGCTAGTTCGTGTTGATGGTCCCTGAGTTCTGAGAGAAGGTTTGAGTCCTTGTAGATCGGTTCTAGTGGTAGGGTGAGGTCGTTGAGGGTGCAAGCTAGTTTGAGTTGCTGGTTTGAGTTGAAGTGATTCTGTTGCTGCTGCTGCTGCTGCTGTTGTTGTTGTTGTTTGAGTTGTTGGATGAATTGTTTGAGTTGGATTGGTTGGGATGGTTTGAAGAGTGAGTGTTCTAGTACTCTGGCCTGTTGTTTGAGTTGTGACTTGCTCGGTTTGCTCGGTCGGTTGTTTGCTTGGTGGTTGTTGACCATCTTGTTGTTGACCAGTTGGCTTTGGTTCTTCAAGCTCTCCTCCTAAACAGCTTCCATCAGGAAATCGGGGGGTCAAGCTGCACTCAGAGGGGGGCTCAAAAAACTCATCTTTGCATAAACATCCCGACTTTTGTGCAAGTTGCAACAGCTGTGTTTCCTGCAAGGAATGCCATTCAACAGAGGTTGTGATGGAGAATGAATGATAAGTAATCCAAACCTTTGCATACAAACTAGGTCTTTGCTGATTATGGAGGAAGCCCTGAATTAGCTTTTGCACATCAGCTCTCCTTTAAGAAGAGACCCAAGATCCCAAAATGAATCAAAAAAAAAAGTATGGATACATAAACCAACATTCAAGGCCTTGTTTATAAATTACAAAGGGTCTTGAATGGAAGATGAACTGTTCACCAAAAAAAAAAAACTTTGATATTTCCTTCTTGTAAGTCTTGGCTATTAACACTAGAATGAAGAGGTCTCTGGGAGAGACGTCAGTGGCACACACCATCTATGTGTTTCTGAGAAAACCAATACAAGATTACAAGAATGAATTCATGAATCAACAATTAGAACCTGTTGGCGGTGATTGCTTGTTTACATATGTAGTCTTATGAACACAACCCAAACTGATGTGGGTTGATGATGATGATGATGATAGAGATCGTTCGTTTGGACCTAGGTACCTGTTGGTACCTAGGTACAACGCTGGGCCGCTACGCTACGCTACACTAAAGGGCCACTTAGCGTTAGCGTAGCAGCGCAAAAACAGGCCCTTTTTTCTGTAGTGTTAGCGTGCCGCTACGCTGTAGCCCCGCTAACAGGCGGCATGTTTTTGGGTAGTGTTAGCGCATCACTACAGCCGCTATGCTGCGCTACAGGCGCCTTTAGCGGCAAAAAAGGCAAAAACCCGCTAAAAGCCCTGTAGCGCGGCGTAGTGGGCACTTTTTTGTGCCCTTTTTGTGCCCCCGAGCGCGTAGTTTCGACTTTCTGCGCTAACGCTGCGCTAACGCTAACCGCACTTTTGTGCCCTTTGCGCGTAGCGTTAGCAAAGAAAGGTGGATTTTTCACTAACGCTACGCTACAAAGTAGCGCATTTCCGCTGCGCTACGCCACGCAAACGCTACAGTTAGCGTTGCTAGGTACCTGATCATTTTTTTCAAGAAAATAGATACCATGTACCGCACCAGACACCTCCCGGAGGGTACCTAAGGTACCTGTTGCAGGTACCTCAGGTACCTGTTGCAGGTACCTCAGGTACCTGTTGCAGGTACCTCAGGTACCTGTTGCGTACCTGTGGCAGACTCCATGGCAGGTACCTCAGGTACCTCCCCTCTCTTTCTCACTTGGTTTTCATGCAGCCCCCCCCCCCCCCTTTTGGTAGGGAATAAAGAGACATGAAAAGATAGTGACAGCTATGGGAGTCAAACCCATGTCACAGTCATGGTACAAACCTGCTCTAACACTGAACTAAGCCATCTGGTTCATGGCGTACAGAGGCTACAAAGGGGAAGTGAGGGGGTACCTGTAGAGGTACCTAGGTACCTGTTCAATTTTTCACAAAAATAGGTACCAAGTACCACACCTGGCACCTCCTGGCGGGTGTGGGGCGGGTGTGAGGGGTACCCCCCAGGAGGTACCAGGTACCTGCAGAAAGTACCAACGAACGATCTCTAGATGATGATGATGAAAGAGAAGAAGAGACAACAATAAGAAAGACATACTTCTGCAACAAACCAACCAATCTGCTTCACCTTTTTGTTATCATTTTCTTTTCTTTTTTTTTTGATGATGTTGTTAATATCAAGTGCATTTAGTTTTATGGATGAAGTCTATCAACGATGTACATATGTTGACCATTTTTCTACATCCTCATCACACAGACAAACCCATTTATATGTATACTGCATCATTCATCTATATTGTAGCAAGAATCAAAATCAAACAAATGTTTGACAGCAGGAATTTAGATTAACCATGTTTTTTTTTCTTTTCTTGTGATTGGTTGATTGATTGATTGACATTCAAAAAAAAAGGAAAGTGGGAAAAGCAAAACAAAAATAACAAGGTGATCTATGTATTGTCAACTAAGAAACCAACAAACTACAAAACAAACAGATCAAAAAATAAGACAGACAGTATAAGAGAAGGACAAAGTCATGAGGGGGGGGGGGAATCAACAATTCTGTTTCTAGTCCCCCTCAAAGGCAAGCAAAGAAAAAGGGGAAGGTTTGTTTAGATTGTTTTTTTTAAATACTTTTGATTTATGAGGATGATGCTCATGGAGAGAAGAATAGAGATTGATAGGCAAAGGAGAGAAGGAGAGGGGCACAGGAAATGGCAGGGTGGTAATATAATGAGGAAAGAAGAGAATGAGAAGTGAAAAAAAAAAAAAAATCCACTTAACAAAAACAAAAAACACAATGTAGCATATATCTTGACAATTGAATGCTCATGTACCATCAGTGACTAAGAAGGAGTGACAAAAACAGTGGAGTACTACTACTCCTAATACGAGAAGCACTGTTAAAAATGATTTGAAAGACTAACTCAAGAATGACAGATAATGATGACAATTTCAGACTACGATATGGTGAGATATATATTTGTGTGTGTAAAGTTATGCATGTATCTATGATAAGTGAGACAGAAAAAAAAACGAGCGGTCGTCAACAACGATTTGCTGGAGTAGTTGTTTGTTTTTTCTTGATAATTTGTCTAGTTCCACATATTTCCAGGGTGTTCTTCGATCGATTTAAGAACAGATGTAGAAGCCCGACGACCATACCCACCGGGCATACACCCATTCGAGACATTGTTCGAGCTAACGATGGTTGAGGAGGGATGGGAGTCGAAGTTAGACAAGCTCTTGGGCGGATATCCGTTGGGCCCTCCCCAGGCGAAGAGCGATGAAAACCCGTTCTGAGTGGGGTTGAGTTGATCGCTTGGAATCGGTCCGTCGGCTTGGAGCTCATGCATCTCGAGTGGAGGACTGCCGATGGTGGCGAGAGAGTGTCGTCTTTGAATCCCTTCCCGAGTCGTCTCGCCCTTCCAGCAATCCACTTGGGCCTCCCACCCCCCGTTTTGATCTTCCAAGATCGTAAATGGAGCAGAGGGATGAGGGGCAAAGGATAGTTTGGATGGGAGATGGTCCCCATTTTGGCTAGTCGGGATGAACGATGAATCCAACCCAATCTGGGCATTCGTGACATCGGTCAATTGGCCGTTTGCCAATCCGAAATGACCAAAGGATTGGATAAATTCAGCAGGACAGGATGATCGTCTTCGGGGATCAAACCCATCGGGCAATCCAGTGCTATCCTCGGTACTAAACTCGGTAGTTGTTGGGGTGCGGATGAGGTTGGAGTCGGTAGCCGTGGCGGTGGATGAGGCGATCGAGGTGTTACTGCTCCTGCGGCAGATGAGCGATGGATCCTCACCACCAGGTTCGCTAAACTGTTGCTGTTGCTGGTGCTGTTGGGCCAGTGTACCATTTCCGATCGGCAAGGGGGTAAGAGTATTGCTGGCCTGGCCAGAGAAGATATTCGAAGGAGGGAGATAGTATGGGTGATGATGTAACGAGTGAGAACGGTGTCGACGATCGGTGTTGGTATCGAATCGATATTGAAGTCCTTCTTCTAGCTCTTCACTCTCCCCGTTAGCATGAGCCGCACTGGTCAGACTTGGGGGAGATACACCGATGCGCAGTTGATCTGGATTTTCATTGATACCGGCTGGTAAGGCGAGCGCTCGCATCGAGGGTGGACTAAGATAGATTGATGCAGGGGGGCTTGCTGCTGGTCGAGACGAATTGCCGTTGGCCTCGGGGTCGGCACTCTTGCCAGACTCTTGCTCGGCTCTTTTCTCAGAGCTTCTTCGTTTTAGCTCGGCGATTTTGAAACTTGAGAGCGTACATGGAAACAAGCAAGATAGAAGCAATCAACCACCGATCGTCGACATCAGAAGAGATCGGCAAGCTTGAAAGCTGTCAAGCTTGCCGAGATTGTGATTGATAGGAGATCAGGGTTCAAAAATCACACTCACCCAAACCTGGACCTCCCTCGGAGTCATGTCGAGCCGATCGGCGAGCTGCTTGCGCAATGCCACATCGGGTTTGCAGTTCGACTGGAATTGTGCCTCTAAGATGCCCAGCTGAGCAGGAGTAGTTCGGCGACGATGTTTGATCCTACAGGGGCGGAGTGGGATGATTGTAGAAGAGGGGATATACAGAGATGCACGGGTGCATATAAGAGCGGAGATATGATTTGTGTGTGTATTGAAGATTGAAAGGATATGCAGAGAAGGATGAGTTTCGGAGTGCGGAGATGTACATGATGTTGAAAGGGGGGGGGAAGGGATAAACAAGGTAATCAGAAGATGGAGAGTTGAAGAAGGGGAAGAAGAAGTTGAGTCAGTTTATCCTCATGTGTACCAACATATCGATGAGATCACATCTCGACTTGCACCGATCAGAGTCAATCAAGTCAGTTGGACTTGCGATATAGACACCTCACACTACAGATCTGCAAGCTCAACAGCGACTGGCGAGAAGCCGAACAGAGTTATGCAGGCACCAAGTGATCGACAACAGCCAATCATAAGAACAACCGACACACGCGAATATGTACATACATACACGGACATAAAACCAAGAGAGGGAAAGAAAGAAAGAAATCAAAAGAAGACCAAAAGATTCAGATACTGACTGGAACGGGTCAAAGAACGTTGCCGGGTGACCGAGATCGACGGGGGCATTCCAAGGGTTGTGGAGATGTGGTTGATGAGGGTGATGAGCGTGAGGGTAAGAGTGAAGCTGAAGGTTGGTCGGGGTGAAGGATGGGTGATCGATAGGGCTTGAGATAGAGTTATGACGGCCGTAGTGATGCTGATAGAGTGGATGATGAGGATGGTGGTTAAGTTGATGGAAGTGAGGATGCTGAGCGATCAGGCCGGAGGGGGACGGGGGTGAAGGGAGGAAGTCATGGGCGGTGGACTGATCGCTAGTAGGATGAGCAGCAAAGACGAGTTCACTGGAGGGATCGATCAGCATCTGGCCGGGCTGAGCTCGAGGCTGGGGTTGAACGAGTGGGGGAATCTGCTGGAGATTGGAGTGCGAGGATGGGGAGGAGGAGGAGGAAGAGGTGGAGGGCTGCTGCTGCTGATGGGTCATGATGAAAGGTTGTTGTTGTTGTTGTTGTCGTTGCTGTTGCTGTTGTTGCTGCTGCTGGAATATTCTGAATGGGTCATCAAACTCAGACAGAGGCTGGCCAGTGATGGGAGTGGGCCAGATTGAGAGCGGTGAGGAGGTCGTCGAGGGGGTCGGTCTGGAGCCAAGGACAGAGTTGAGGTTCATCGAGAGCGGAGAGTGATCGATTGCTGAGGAGGAGGAAGCAGCAGCAGCAGATGAGGAGCAGATCGATGGAGGTAGGTTGAGGGTTGAGATGAGTAAGGGCTCGTCTGGCGCTTGAAGATGGCTGGCGGTAACAATATTATTATTATTATTATTATGCTGCTGCTGCTGATTATTATTATTGCCCATCTTATCCGACAAGATATCATTCTTCCTCGTGACAGGTGGGGTCAGAGCTGGAAGAGATGCTGATTGGAAATCAGGGAGCAGGTTGAGTGAGTTGGTGTTGGTGGTCTCGACTAGGGCGCTGGCTGCTGAGTTGAAGATGCTCTGGTTGCTACTACTCGCGGCAGATGAGGGTGGTGGTGGGATATTGTTGTAGTGATTTTGGTTTTGATTTTTGAGTGACTCGGAGGAGGATGAGCTCTTGATAGGCTGGACTGAGCCCGTGGATGATGGGGGAGTATTGTTGCTGCTGAGTGGGCCGTGGTAATTGAAGGGCTGTTGGGTGATAATTGGGTGTGGATGGTGGGTGGGCTGAGTGCTCGGCTGAGGAGGAGGAGGAGGAGGAGGAGGTCTGAGAGGATGAGTTGGATGAATGGGTGATAGACTCGGTTGGGATTGTGAGCACGGGAGTTGGAAGAGCATCTTGGGCTTGCTTAAAAAGAGTTCAAGAAAGCTTAATGAAGATATTCTGTCTATAAAAAAATAATACCATAATAAATATAAAGATAATAATGATTCTTGAAGAGATCGATGGAAAGATGTGTGTGGGGAGGCACAGTGGATGGGATGGAGGAGGATGGGACAGATTTTGAGAAGTGTCTTATAAGAAAAATAAAAACAAAATGAAAAGTTGGGGGAAAAAAAAAACAATTGGAAAGACAACTTTGAGGGTTGATCGGCGAGGGATGGGCAAGTAGGGGAAGCTCGGGGAACCACTCGAGTGCTGGAGACGGAGTAGAGGACAGAAGCTGAGAAAAAAAACAACAACTCAGTCTATCAGCTATTTGTAAAAAATCATTATCATCATCATCAATTTATTATCATTATCTTGATCATCATCATTGTCATAAGGGGGGGGGTCGAAAGGAGTTCTGTTTTTCTACTTCAATGGAATTGATCCAGTTTGAATATGTATGTAGGAAGGAGGAGAGGATCAAAGATCAAGGGTTGGTGGGTGTACTGTGGGTGGTGGTGGTGTACGGGTCAAGTGGTCGACGGCGACAGAGCTGACGGGGAGAAAGAGGCAGAGAAAGGAAAGCTGGAAAGGAAAAGGAAAGGAAACAAGACAAGTGCCTGGCCGAGTCGAAAAATTTGTAATTATGCATTTGAATATTTGGGCGATGGTGTTATAGCATAAACACATATAACCATACAACAACGCAACTTATTTGTGTAAAAAAGTACACACTACAGACTTATTCAAAACCGAGATTTGAATAGAGGGAGGCAAGCATACAACTCGAAGAGGGGAGGGGAGGGGGAGGAGGAGGAGGGAAGATGAGGACTCCGGCAAGGCGGACTACACCCTATCAAGATACTGCTTCCCTTTTGGGATTGAAGGAAGTGCTGTGGAGGAATCTTTACATACGAAGCGGGATGTCGGATGATGGTGATGGTGTGTTGATGGCATGGATGTGGAAGCAGTTCATGATACAGCTCGCTCCAAGAGTACGGATGGCGTGGACGACATCTTGTGAGATGTCGAAGGTACACACTGGAAAAGTGAATTGTGTGATGTCTGCTTGTCCCTACGACATAGTGCTACCAAATTTACGTACGAATCGCGCTGGCCAACAAGTTGGGAAACTTGTGACTGTTCAGTGGGATCATTAAAAAGGCGAGAACACTCATGAAAATGCACGGAATATCGATAGGAATGGGGGATGGATCTAGTTGCAGTCTTGAGTGGATTTGATTCTTTGAGGGAAAGAAAGAGAACGACCGAGATGAGCGGTCGGCTTGGCCGAAATCTTAATCGGCAAAGAAACGAAGTACCAAACTTCGGCCGGATGATCACAACTCAAGAGGAGTTCGGTCTCACATCCACAGTGTTTCTGACTCGGAGGGAACCAGCAACCTGCACCGCTGATTTCAAAGAAAAATCATCCATGGGTATTATATCTGCTGGGGAGCGCGGGGCACTGGGAGGAGCGGAGGGAAGGGCATGTAGGGGGGGCCCAAGGGCAAAGAGCAGTTAAAAGAAACAGGAGGGATCGACAGCATACACAAGAACAAGCTGAATGATGTTGTGCATGCAACTCCATTATGGATTTGGAAGGGTGTCTTGGTCCAAAGACCCAAGAAAGGCCACCCCCCACCCCGACACGCTGATGAGATGAATTGGTTTACATAAGATAATCACTGTGACTCATCTCATCTGGCGGCAGGAGAGCGAGCATGGTGGTCGACGACGTGGGTTGTGTTGTGGTGTTCCCACATTGAAGAATTGTTTGTAGTGGGCCCGGGCGGGCAGGGTGGATGATATGAATGAATGATGGTGATGGATGACAGCTAGATGATTCAAGATACGATGATTTGGAAAGAAGGATGAATAGTCACAAAAGGAAGCTGCAGGCCGGAATGCTTACCAATGTTATAAACTACTTAAGCGCCGGTTGGACGAGCGTCAAGCCGGGAGGAGGTTCACGGTGTGCGTCTGGGCGAGGTCCCGGGGCGGCTGCCGATATAATATTCAAAGCCTCCCGAAAAAAAGATGGAGGATCCGGTGCAAAGTCTGAAAATCGAATGGTGATCGATGAGAGACAACGCTCGGAATGCGTGCCGGTACGAAGATATCAAGTGGCACAGCTTCGAACTGGAATACAAAATCCGAAACGATCGTGGATTGTAGCTCGAGGCTGAAGTGTGAAGTGTCTTGGGGTGCTCAGGACTGTGATGGTTCATAAGGGTATGAGTTAGGTCAGCGATTCATAGACAAACAGAGTCAGAATATAACAAATAGAATCGCTCAACTCACAACCTCACGCACTGGGACAATCTTCAGACCCTTCGTTCAAACACACCAAAAGAATAGAATGAAAGAAACGTGCCGCTGAGAAGCTGATGACCGGATTGGTGTCAATATTATTAAGATTATGATTAAAGTAAATTAATTAGGATCGTAAAATTGTCGAGCGGATAATGATGATTATTATTATTATTAGATCGTCTTGCGGGTGGGTTGTTAAAGGTTGACTAGACAGTTTTCCATTCCGGTCTTGCAGTCGTAATCCTTTGCTTGTTGGTCTTCAGACGGTAAGTAAGAGAGATAACAGTCAAAGATATAAGAGGATAAAATGACGGGATTCTTATCTCTATATCTTGCGGAATGCAATAGGATATCCTTTCAACTCTTCTTGAGGATGATGATTAGAGCGAAAGATTGAATGATGTGTTATTATTAGCTTTGATGGGAAGGTGATATCTGCTGATGGCAATAATAAGTTAATTGACCGATAGAGATGATTTATAGCTGTTGAGATTTGACGATCTCTCTCTCTCTCCCTCTCTCCCTATGCAGAGATATCTGGGGTAAGAAGGGATGAGGGTTATGTAATAATGAAACCAGGGAAAGGGATTACAATAATTAAAATAATCAAGAATCAAGAATCAGAGTCGGAGTGCTTTTTTTAATATCACTTCAATTAGTCGTGATGGAGAGAGATGAGTGTTAGAGCAACAAATGGGAGGGTGCCAAGATGGGAGTTGTCACAGATCGACAACTTGAAATAATCTCAAGAAACAACTGGGCAAGAGCCGATATCTCTCCTCGTAACCTTAGATGGTTTTTTTTTTTTGATAGACTGGATATGGAATGCCTTTGATGATACTGGTGAAGAGGGTAAGAGGGGGATATTATTGGGATTAAATCTGGATGAGAAGAGAGTGAGTTGGAGGGCGAAGGAGGTCGGGATTTGATCAATCATCAAGGGAAAAGCTCAGAAGGGATCGACAGGTGTTCGGCGAGGGTGATAGCCAGCGAGCGAGGGAGAGACAGTAACGATCAGCGAGTAGGCTGAGGGAGTGTGTGAGTATTTAATTAATTAATGAGCTCCAAAGAAGCGACCTGGAAAGCTCGCAAAACCTCCTCCAAGATACATACACTCTCCCACTCTCTGTTTTGATCCTCGGGTGTTTTTTTTTTTCTTTCTTTCTTTGCATGCCCCCTTCCCCGGAGTTGTATGTACAGCTACTTGGAGTGACAACAAATGTGTCTTGCTTCGGCTTCCTGGCTCCCTTCACCCTCGCCCGTCCCTCAACAAGAATACCAGAGACGATCTACTGGGGCATTTAATCATAAAGAGAATTGTAGCAACAGTTCAGATTTCTCGAATTCAAGAAGCCTTGTCGGATCTCTTTTGGTGATGCGATGTAGTTATAGAAATGGTGACCAACCTTAAAAAGGATGATTGCTACGTACATATATGTAACCGAAAACAAAAAGCAAAAGAAAGCTTCACTCCAGTTGCTGTTTTGTAGCATCGACTGACACCGAGAAAGCAATTATTATCATTTATGGGTCTGAACCACAAGTTCCTAATGAGATATGCCGCGATGATGGATGCCAGACTCTCCCGGGGAGCTTGGTGGCCAGGTTAGCTCTGACCTATGGACTGATGAACGAATGAATCAATTGTTAACCTAGACTGTCGTCAGCAAGCCTGTGCCCGGCTATCGGAGTATCGACACCGTCACTACCGTCGGGAACTTTAAGGATACAGCTGTCTGGCAGAAAGAATGCACCAGTGCAGAGTTCTCGACTCTTCAATCCTGAAGCCAACGTGCGTCTTTTTTTTTTCTCTTTCTCTTTCTCTTTCTCGCCTTTTTCGTTTTCTTTTTTCTGGATTATCTCCCGAGAGCCTGAGATCTGCGCAGGTTTGTTGAAGATCCTAAAAAGAGAAGTTAGAAGCTCAAAACCCAGTGAGACCTGAACAAGAGAGAAACGAAAAGCGGGCGTCCAAGCTGTTGTGGAGCCGGTTGCAGGCCAGCCTTAGGCGGAGGCTTAGACGATGGATGGATGGTTGTCCATAGTCAAACTTCCTGGCTCGGATTGTGAAAAAGAAGGAATGTTTGCCGAACCAGAGATGCAGAGCCTACACATCCAGCCTAATAATAATAGTTTGACTATGTCTAGTCGATGGACCGCTAAGCCTAAAAGGGTCCTAAATAGAAAGAAACCGATGCCGATAGAGATCGCCGCTGATCCCTCGGTGCGGAGGTCGGAGTCGCTACGCTCTCGCTTGATTTTCCATACTGCCGACTCGAGAGCGTCATCTGACTCTCAAGCACTAAACTCGGTGCTTCGTTTAGGACCAGCTGAAAGTCATCAACCACCAAGTCGATTGCTGGATGGGTGGGTTGAATGCCTGGGAGAGGTGGTCCCTAAACCGATTGTCTCCAGCAATCGGCCTGTGAGAGGGGCGAATCAAACAGTCCATGGTAAAGATAAAAATCCTTGACCCTGAATCATACAGCACCTCCCTATAAGCGCAACTGAAAGTATATCCCATCAGAATCATTGATGTGGCTTAAGTGCGCAGAGATAGAGAACAGCCGGGAAAGGCCAAGCAAATCCCTGGGAAGTGGCCATCATGTAGGCGTAAGTTGAGGGTTTTGTTCTCTTTCAAGTTGCTTCGAGGCTGGTCTCTTGAAAGCCAAGCTCGCCGGGAAACGCAACCCGTCGACGGATCTCATTGCATTGATCTTCATCAACCTTGAAGCCTTCAGGATTCCAGCACAGCAGTCTGGAGAACCCATGTGAGCTACAACAGGGATGAGTTGCGGGAACTGAAAATTGTTTATTGGAAGACAGAAATGTGTGATTTCAGGTGATTTCCGTCTTGCTTGTATGTATTCGACTGGCTTCTATCGTCTGCATTGGCGGTGGCTTGATGCACAAAACAGCCACTGATCGTGCGATCCGTGAAGCCGGATGTTTGGTCTTTAATGATCAGACGCCTGGCGCAGCGGCCCGTCTCACCCTGTCTCACCGCCTTTATAACCAACTCCGAACACGTGAGCACCGAGCGGACCATCGACCATGTTTCGACTCTGCAAGCCACCATGGCAAGCCAGCCCATGGGTCTGGGAAGTCCATGGCTCCATCCATCCTTGAACGGCGCACGTGCTGCTGGCTGGTATTATTACATATGCACCACTAGGGGGGTTCACAATTGAGATTCACAAAACTTTCAAAGCCCATTTTGAGGTGTTTACATTGTATGATCAACTTTTTGAAAAATAAAAACAGCTGTTCTGATTGTTCAGGCAGAAACCCCAAGGTTTATGCATCTTGTCAAAATTTTAAAATGTTGCTGATAAGTATGGAGGCACACAAGCCCAAAATCAAAAAAACCACAATCCATTTTTAAGGGATTACCCCAAACCTAGGGATTCCGGGGCTGCCCCGGTCCCAAGCCCCGGGGTTCAGGAATTGGGATGGGCTTCACAAAACCCCAAAAACCCGGGGTTTATTGTTTATAGGGATTTTCCCTGATTTTTCCTTGTTTTGGCACGTTGTAAGACTCAAAGAGTGATTGTAAGATCCTTTTTGCTGAATGGAGAAAGGGATGAAATGAGCTGCAAACTCTGCCTTTCTATATTATCAGAAAACAAGACCACCAAGGTAAGCTTAGCAGTTTGGTTGGTGATAATGGATTATGTTCAAAGATGGTTGTATAATTGTTGAAGGTTGATCTTATTGTCCAAAGAATTGATTGAGTTGTTGATGTTGTTTCTCGTGTTGATGTCTTGATACTCGTGCTCTTCCTTGATGCTGTATATGTATAATGTAATAGAGGTGGTTCTTGAACCCAAAGCGCCTGGGAGCACTATGCTTCAACCAGGACTGGAACAAAGGACTGGCTCTTCTGTGTAATGTTTGTGAAATGAACTGTGTATATATTTCAATCAGTGAACTGTACTACTTGTGAACTTCTTGTGTAATAAATATATGTAATCTGTGACAGGTGTCCCACCAAAATTGTGTACTGAGTGGGATGAGGAGGGAAACAACTGGCAGGCAGAGGCCTCCTTATATAGTAAATTATGAGGGATTTTAGCCCCCAAGGGACCCCCTGTATGAGGCATTTTAGCTGCCCTATCCTTGAAAATCCTGAGGGATTTTTGGCTAGACTATCTACAATGCATCCCTTTTATATGTAAGCTGTAAGAAAGGAATTCATGTGTTCTGTGGCTGAATAAATGGGAATTGAACTGGTACAACTGGTGGCCAACTTGTGGTTCTGTAAGTATAAAAGAAATTCAATATGGATAAAAGGAATTCAATTAACAAGTTTAACATTAAGCGACAAACCTCCCTAAACTACAGGTATCACGAATTGTGATGGCACTTGAGACATTAATTCTCGCGTTGACCCTGCGTTAACGTTCTTCTAAAATGTTTCTCTTCAGCCTTGACTTATATATTTTTCATTTCGTTTGTTTATCCTTACATCCTTGTTCCAAAAAAATCATTCTTTGTCCCCTGCCTTTTACTCGTCTGCCAACATCTTTTTCCTTGTCCGGTTTCTTTCCCCTTTTCCCGAATGCCACTCCTGCAATTCTTCACTCTTGTGTTACCATTCTTGGCACAAGCAACCTTAAATTAACATTCTATACTAAGCACTTTCTCTATTTTTTTTCTTTTCTATTTGTGTTGTCACATCGATTTTGATCCTGCACTCACGAACTTAGCCTCTTGAAAACTTCAACATACTTTCTAATTTACACTTCTCTTCATTGCCTACCACAATCTTTTGACTGGCCCTTTCCTTGATCTTATGTATTCCTTCTTCCGTATCTTTTTGCATCGCCTCCCCTTTTATTATCTTTGCCTTTTCCATTCTTTTGGTCCATTCACCTCTTCTTAATTTGCCTCAACCTATGTCTTACTCTTTCCTTTTCCTATCACGTTGTCTCTCTGTTTTGTATCTTTTCCTTTTCCAATATTTTTGTCGCATTACCTCCTTTTGTCCCATGCACCGGTGTTTAAATAAAGCTACTATTTTGTTCCTTGAATCGTACCCCTCGACTTCTTCCCATCGCTAAAATTCAAAATCCAACATGCGTACCTCGCACTCCATTCAGGGTTGCCGATTTATAGATGAACCCCTCTCAATCAACCCTGATGGCTCAATCACTGTCAATTTCACCAATACCAATGTTCCCCTCAGCCCTCGCTCCTACACCGCCCAATACCCTCAATACTCACTTATTGCAAAGCCGATGTCGCTTGCTTCTTCGACTGGTGGTCCTTGGTTGATTTATTACGGCACTGTTGATCTCTCATTGAATCTGGATGTTATCAAAATCAAGTCTCATGTCTCATATTGGCAAAACTCTTGTCCTTCATTCATGCGATGTGATGGAGGACCACAACTCAGTGGTAACATTAAGTTCAGCAATACTCGTCATCAACTTCGTGCCACACCGCTAACTCCTTTGCCAGTAAGCTTTGTTCTATCTTTCAACTCAACAACTCTTGCAACTCGAGACTGAAATCTTTTCGGAAGTTCACTCTCCATCTGCATAGTCTTAGTTTTATGTCTATGTATGAAGAACACATAAGAATAGGACACACCGCTTGGATCCACGGCCGCATCATCCGTCAAGACGGGTCTAACCTTCATATCAATGTATCTCAAATTCTCCTCCTTTATGTATTTCAGTCCCTATATGTCAAGTGACTGACACTTCCCATTCCTTTGGACCAGACTTCTTGCATTGCCCCTTGCCGCCATATTAAGAACAGTTATTGGGCCAGTCGAATGGATCACTTGAATCACTAAGTAACTCATATTAGTCCCTTGAGCTCATCATTTAAACTTAACCTTCATATCAATGTATCTCAAATTCTCCTCCTTGATGTATTTCAGTCCCTATATGTCAAGTGACTGACACTTCCCATTCCTGTGGACCAGACTTCTTGCATTGCCCCTTGCTGCCATATAAGGAACAGTTATTGGGCCAGTCGAATGGATCACTTGAATCACTAAGTAACTCATATTAGTCCCTTGAGCTCATCATTTAAACTTCCGTCAAGTTTTTTGTCCTGCAAACTCGGACAAGACGCTTGGCCGGCCTACTGTTTGATTTATGCATATGTTTCAGTCCTTCTCATTAGTCCAACATCTATTTGTTCCCCTGCAATTAATTCCTTAACAATTCCTGTGCCAACCCCCTGCAAACATCCCTTAAACGCAGGATCCTGCTCCCATCCGTTCGTCTCAATCATTGGATCGAAACTCAAAACCCATCTCTCCTCTCCGCAGACAACTGTTCCTGATTTAAGGCATGGTCCTTGCCTTCTATTTAGCCTCAATCCAGTATTGTTTCTTCTCTCTTACACCTAATCATAAATGGCAGACAAAGAAAAACTCCAAAATAGATCAATCTCTTGTCGCAGCACGTTTCGACCCTTAGAAGAAGTAGGTCTTGATACCAAATCACAAATACTTCTGATACTGATTGCTCCTCCGTCTTAGTCCAATGCCATAATCAAGCCTGGACAATTATATGGGACGATATCTACCCCAAGCTTCGTCACCTGCAACTCAGACGAACCAGTAGACTATCAAGTACTCCTCAATACTAATGCCTCAGCAGAACATATTCTTTTGCCTGATTTTATTTATGGCCTCAGCGGGAAATTACTCCTACTTAACACTCCAGCTGCCCCAGTTTTGAATTACTATTTAGAAATGGTTGCCAAAATTTGCCCCGCGGCACAGCAACTTGAAGATTCCACCAATAAAACGTTTACTTTGGGACCTGGGGTTGTCATTTTTGTCGCAAAACCCAAGTCCGATTCCGACTTGGATCCGATTGAGAATAAAAAAATGGATTTGATCATCCATGTCAATCATAGTGATTGGGACCCTGCGGTCAGACTCATATCATTGCATAATTCAATCGATCGTCATCTATACTGACATTTTGTCTCAATTCTTTAGGATCGAATTGTCAAATCATTTGACGTTAAATACCTTGTCCCTTCAAATCCAAAATTGATTAACACACATTCAATGCTTCGGGTTGGCCGCGAATTTTTTTTTGATGGTTATTTATATGGTTGGGATTTGAAAGCCCAAATGGCTATGATTAAGGTCTGTTCTGTGATGGTCTTGGAAGTTTATTTTGTACTCATATTAATACTGGATCAATTAGGTTTTAAGTTTTAGTCCTATAGCCATGGCCAATACTGGGTCCATTGGCCGACATGCCACTCCTACGCCTCAAACGAGCCCCATTAACAAGGGGCGTAAATTGTGAGTTTTTAAACTAAGTCAATTCCTGACGCCTTAGGCTGACTATTAATTTGATAGCGTGACTTTTGGAGAGGAGAATTTGCCCACGTCCTTGGGCAGTGGTCGTTGTGCGACCTTGGTCTCTCAACATAAAGGTCTTGAAATCTTAGACCAGGGCAAAGGATCAAGTAGATTGATGTCAGCTGGTGAAAACTTACAAGACAAAGATGAGATACCGCTTTCTCTTATTCCTAGCCCCAAAGGCAAAGGTAAAGCCCCCGAGGCCTTGACCGGAAATAAAAAAAAAGAAATACTCCAGGGAATTAATGCCTTTGTTAAAAGTTTTTTACTTAAACTCTTGTCCTTGACGTTCACATCAAGGGTGTGCTATATTTTTATTCGTTCTCCAAGACTATTAGATAGTTTTTGGGCCTCTCCCTATTTTATTTTTCTCAGGTCCAAAATAGATTATATAGTATTGCGCCTCAGGGTGACCTAATATACAAAGCTGCGCCTCGATCAATGTCTACAATCCATACATAATGAATACAGTAATGATAAAAGAAAACAAACAAAGGCAACGGCGAATGGAATTCTTGGAGGAAGTGCTGATTAATTCAGTGAATTGTAAAAGGAAATAAAAATTCCAACATTCAATTCCAAAGCGAGCGCCAAGTGTATAAATTTCCTAGATTATCAGCACGTGATGTTTTCTTTGTCCCCGCCATTTTGAGGGGGAATCAAATTTTGTTCAGTCAAGAGACATGTAATGTTTTGCCTTAGGGTTTGTGGCACTCACGAACAAATAAAGCAGGTGGGTGGACTATGCACAGTTTTGTCGATCAAGTTGCCATTGAGTAGGACTGAGTGTCAAGGGTATTTCGTGATTGAATTCAGAAAGGATGTGGGACCTGTGGAATTAAATAGTCTCTAATCAAGTCTAAAAGTGAGAAAAAACCATTCAGTCATTAGAGCTCAGTGTAATGTTTTATACATGGAAAGGAGCAAAAAATTTACTCACCCATCGGAGTGAGCCAGACTGATCAGCCACATCTCCAGATCCCCATGCCCAGAGGGCAGACTCTAGCCAAGATTGTGGTCAGTGATGACTTGGCCTTAACATGCCAATGCCATACAAGGCACGTACTGTGCATTTGTGTCTGACAAGCAGGTTTTGTGGGTATATAGTTGTTTTTGTGAAGTCGCGCTTTCAAATCCTGATCATGACATTTTGAAGAATTGGAATCTATTCCTTGGGATACACGTAATAGAGTGACGGGCTTCCAGTCTTTAGCTATATAGACTATTTCAAATGATTTGGGTAGAGTCCCTCAACTGGTGATCGAGAGATGAAATTAATAAACAATTCCATTCAAATGCCGAATTCAATGGAAACTACAAATGTCACGAAGCAGAAGCGCCCGGAACAGGACCCTCAGGGCCAAGTCCCTCTTATCTTTAAGAGGGGGCGCCACCGGGCACTGCAACGAACTCAGAGGTGGTCGGTGCAAATCTGAAAGAGACAATACTAATTGGAGACCGCTAGGAGGGATGCCGAATTAATGCTGGGGCACCGCTACGCGTACATTATCCGCGCACAAAATTCCCACGAAGGGCGGTGCCCCGATGCAGCTGATAATGGGTTCTTCAACTCAGTAAAGCTAACACCTTGGCTCCTTGATGCTATCAAGAATTATCGGCACAAGTTTGTAGAATTTAGACTACGCGGGCTTGTCCATCTACCATAAGAGTCCAAATTTCTAAAAGTCTTTTTTGGACTCTTAGGAGGCTGTAAATTCTAAATCTTATTCAGTTTTGCAATTGGACCAGCCATTCTTTTTTTTCTTCTTTTTTTGAAATCATTATTTCGCAGTCGAAGAAGGACCGATGGCGAAGCCGGTCTTAAGACTCTGATGGCGGAGCTTTTGACTGTCCCGGATTGGTAAGATGGTCGGGCAGGAATGCATGCAAGAGCGCTCCATGATGAGGGTTTTTTTTTCTAGGTGAAAAGTGCTCAGTACGGGGTGAGTGAGGTTAACGGAAGAGAGAACCAATTATGATTTGTTTTTTTCCCTGTTTCGGCACATGGTGTCGGAACGGGCAAATGTTCAAACTCCGGATGGGATGAGCTTGATCAGTCCAAGATCAAGGCTCCAAGCTCATGAGGAAGGAGTGCTGCAGAAGAGTGAACGCTCAGTCTGACGGGAGAGCCATCCATGGCCCCTGCCCGCGACCGGTGGGAAATGGGAGACCGCATGAGCAGCTGCACGCACAACACTTTCGCTTGCCGTTCCATTTCCATCAATATATCAGTAGTCACTGTTGGCGTTTGTACCATTTCCGGCGGCCATTTAACTTTTCCGAGCCTTCATCCCCATTGAGGCAACAACATAAAAACAAGCCTTACGTGTACAATTTCACTCCAACTAACATCCAATCTTCAACATACTACCTACCTAATCATTCAACCTATCTCAAAACACACATTCAAATCTTAAGCTAGCAGTCAGGCACCGACCTCGTACCATGGAAATTGAACCGTCTCGGGATCGTGTTTCTCCAATTCTTGCCCGCGCTTGGCCTGGGGGGCAACATGTCTTGGGCCCATGTAACATGGCGTGTACCGATTGTGGGGCCTTGCACTGGGCCGAGGAGAGGGCCCAGATTGATGTCAAGAAAAAGCAACAGAAGTTCTCGATGTGTTGTCAAAAAGGCCAAGTGACGTTGCCCTCTGCCTCACTCTATGCCCCAGAAATCCCAGGATTTTTGAAGGATCTCTTTACTGGCGTTACTCAAGGTAAGCTTTTGTCCCAATTTAGCTTTGATACACATACGGACTAAAGACTTTTTGCAGAGGCAACAATTTTTCAAAAATATATACGTAGCTATAATAATGCTGTATCCTTCACTTCGCTGGGTTTCACCTCAAGCGACATAGCAAAATCCATTCCTGGAGCTCTGGTCTTCACCATTCAAGGAGGGCTTAGCCATGACATAGGATCAATTTTGCCCCAAGATCCAAGCTCTCCGCATTTTGCCCAATTTTATGTTTTGGGTTCAGGTGGCATAACTGAAGCCCAATACCGCAAAAAAGTGGCCTTGGGGTCTAAAGCTTCAGCCCAATCCCATCAAAAGATCGATGCAAGAATTGTTTTTAGGCTCCAAGCGTTTATGTACAAGTTCAATCCTTATGCCCAATTGTTCCGGCACGCAGCGGAGGTGATCAAGAATAATAGGCCCATCTCGATGGTGTTGATGACTGTAGAAAACGCTTTTACCGATCCTAACAGATACAATTGCCCATCAAGACAGGATGTAGGCCTTATCATCCAAGGCGAGGGCGTACCCAAAGAGCCACGTCACATAGTTCTGCACCATCGGAATGGCCTTGTACGAAGTATATCTGACTTACACTCTGCATACTTTCCGCTTCGTTACCCCTTGTTCTTTCCCTTTGGATCTCAACAATGGGAACCATCATACAAAATTCTTATTTCTTCAGGAATTAAACCACACTACCAACACGTCAGCCAATTGGAATGGATGTCTTATCTGTTATTCGAAAGATCTGGTCGATTCTCTGCAATTCTTGCAGGACGGACCCTTCACCAAGAAATTGTAGTTGACATGTACGCTTGTATTGAACGGTCGCGATTAAACTGGGTCTCAAATAATCAAGAAACGTTGAAGGTGGAAATGTATTCAGACTTGGTTGAGTCCTTTGGTAAAGCGAGCGAGCCAACAGGCAGAAGGGTTGTGTTGCCTTCTACATTCATAGGGGGGCCTCGTGCCATGGACCAATTGTATCAAGACGCTATGGCCATAGTCCGGGAGTTTGGAACACCTGATTTGTTCATCACTATAACGGCCAATCCCGCTTGGAAAGAAATACTTGATCTCATTCCGCCAGGATCAGATCCCATGAATTATCCCACTATTATAGCAAGGATTGCCAAACTCAAATTCAAGGCCTTTTTAGATATCATCATCAAAAAATCCCTGCTTGGAAAGGCCGTAGCGTACGTTGCCACTATTGAATTCCAGAAAAGAGGCATGCCTCATAGGGGAGTGATAATCACACTCCACCCCCCTTCGCACACACACTCCAACACTCCCTTCTCTGAAGGGAGTGTGGGACCGCACTCCAATTGAAATTGGAGTGCGGGTCCGCACTCCAACCCTCTGCGCGGGCATTCCCCCAGCAGGTTGGCGTGCGGGTCCGCACGCCAATTTCGATTGGCGTGCAATGCTGCACGCCAGCCGTTAAGCGAGGTTGCCTCGCTTGCAGGCAGGCGTGCAGCCAGCAATTCCATATGCCTCAGACCTAAACCCATATTCCTATGGGTTTAGGTCGAGGC